CTTCCCTTCCCTCTGATGTGGCGCAGTCTTGAAATCCTGAACACCAGGATCTGTGACCCCCTGTGGATCGCCGAGATCTACTATACCCTGGAGGCGAGCTTTCTCACCGGAGGATACAGGTTGCAGAGGCTGGAAATAAAGAACCACTCCAGTTTCCTCGCTAGTGTAAGAATCTGAGAAATCACAGGGTGGAGGGCAAGGGTGGTGGTCTGGGAGCTTTGAGAGGGCCAGTGAGGTTGAGACCAGAGATCGTGAGATCTCTTTTTAACCCCTGCTTTATTTTGAGAGCCCGACCTCAGTTCCACGAAGCAACAGTTGCCCCTCCCCCCTCACAGCTCTGGAGGGAGGACATGGATGACGTGGTTGTAAAAAGCACTGTTAGCAGAGACATCAGCTAGCTCCAGGAGGCTGCAATTGGTCTCCTTCCCAGTTCTTTTAGGACAGTGGACAGATATATGGGCTATTGAGCTAAGATAATTACAACTGTGGAGTTTCCTTTATTAATCCCCCCTCCTGTTTTATTTTTTGCAGCCCCTACTGAGATTGGAGACTGCTGCGTGACTGAAGATAAAGCGTTTTCTTCTGAAACGCCCTGACCATCTTGTATTAATATATCCTATCGCCATTGTTAGGCATGGCTAGCATCCTTGCACGCATGGGTAACAGCCGGGGGCAGAACCCCTTGCCACCTTGGGCTCATTCCATGCTGAGGTCCCTGGGGAGGAGTCTCGGTCCTTTAATGGCCAACATGGCAGATAGAAACATGAGGTTGTTCTCTGGGAGGGCAGAGCCAGCCCCCGGGGAAGAAACCTTTGAAAACTGGCTGAGCCAAGTCACTGGGGTCCTGCCTGAATGGCATATGCCTGAGGAGGCAAAGGTCAGACGCCTGATGAGAACCCTTAGGGGCCCTGCCCGGGAGGTCATGCGTTTGCTCCATGCTGCCAATCCCAGCCTAAATGTGGCAGATTTTTTGCGGGCAATGAAACTGGTCTTTGGGGAGACTGAAAGCAGTGTGACAGCCCATAGCAAATTTTTTAACACTGTGCAGACACATGGAGAGAAACCATCCCTGTATGTGATCCGTTTAGAGGTGCAGCTGCAGAATGCTATCCAGGCAGGGGTGTTTGCTGAGAGAGAGGCAAACAAGGCTCGCCTGCACCAGCTCCTTGTGGGGGCTGAGCTCAGCAGAGACCTTCGATTCAGGCTTAAGGGGCTTCTCAGGGTGTATGCAAATGAGCCAGAGCACCTTCCCGATTTCCTGGAGCTAATCAGGATGATAAGGGAGGAGGAGGACTGGGATGACACTTTTATTAGGCGGAAGCGGCCCCGATCTGAGTCAGTGATGGAGCGGGCACTCAGTCCTATGGCATTTCAGGGCTCCCCACCAATTTTGATCAGCAGTGCTGACTGCAACGTGATAGAGATAGATGACTCTCCAGATGATGATTCAGACGAGGACGTGATCTTGGTGGAGGCTGAGGACCCACCACTGCCGTCCTCAAGTGCCCCTCCCTTCCTAGGCAGGGCTATATCTGAGGACCAAGTGCTGGTCATCGAGTCCCCGAACATTCCTGACATTCAGGTTCCTTCCACCAGCAGTGGCACTCGGCGTAAGAGCAATCCTGTTGTGGAGGTGCGTAGACCCAGGAAGCGAAGGCACGCAGTCCACTGTGTCCATTGTGGTGAGGAAGGGCATTCCAAGGAAACCTGTGACAATGAGAATGACAAATCTCAGGTTTTTGAGAATCTGATCATCACCCTGCAGGAGCTGACACACACAGAGGAGGAGAGGGCAAGAGAGTTCTTTGGAGAACCCCTTGACTTCTCTGAGCTCCAGTAAGATGCTATCCTCCAGCCCCGAATTAACCCTTCCCTGTATTCAGAGTTCAATGGTGGAAAAGTTGGGGGGACAGACTTCTAATTGCATGAACGAATCCACAAAGTGACTCTCTTTGGGGTGGAGAAAGGGTCTTGAACACCAGTACAGCAGAGAGAAATGGCCTGACCTATGGCCTTGCGCCCCTTCCCCACTGCCTGATTCTACTTTCCGTGTGCACCTATCTCCTTGGTGTCTGTATTCTCTTCGTGAAAGTGGTATTGTTCATTGTTCAATCTTCAAGTCGGGAAGAAAATGATTTTAAAAAGTAAAACTTACCCAGAACTCTCTACCCCGTGTAATAATTGTCAGCCCTTTGGTGACCCTCCCTCTAAATATTTCTCTGTAGCCTGTGTTCCTAAATAGATATGTGTATAGACAAAAGTGATGAACTATAAGTGGTGTTCTATATGCTGTATTTTTTCACCAAAGTGTATGTTGTGGCCTTCTTTGTCAATAAATAAATACATATGTGTCAGCATCTACTTTAATGTCTCTGGGCTATTATTTGAGGAAGCAAAAGGAAAAGAAAAATATGGTGAGGAGGTATAAAGGGGTGGGATTACATTCTGAAGTGTTTTGTTTTTAATAAACTTTTAAATTGCAGGTGAGGAAAAAAAAGTCAGACCTGGTGGGCTAGTTCTATAATCCCACATACCTGGGAGACGGAAGCAGGAGGATCTTCGGTTTAAGGTCTGCTTGAGCAACAGAGTGAGCTCAAAGCCAGACTGGGAAAGTTACTTAGATCCAGCTTACAATTAAAAGAAAGGAATTGGGGCTGTAGCTCAATGACAGAGCACTTGTTGAACGTGCATAAAGCTGCAGGCTCAATCCCCAAACGTGCACGCTCGCGGCATGCAAGCGCATGCGCGCGCCGGGCGCACGCCCCCACACACGCCCACACACATACACACAATATAGTCACACACATGCACACAGACACACACACTCACACACAGACAGGAAAAATAGAGAAAACAATTGTTTAGCACACATAACGCTCTAGACTTAATCACCTCTCTCTCTCTCTCTCTCTCTCTCTCTCTCTCTCTCACAC